TCCTTTACCAAACACACACACACACACACACACACACACACACACACACACGAAAAGGGCCAGGAATATAGTTCAATGGTGTAAGAGCCTGCCCGATAAGTGCAAAGTCCTAAGTTCAATTCCTGGCCCCCCTCCCCCCGCTAAAAAAATAAAAAATAAAAGTGCTGGTGACTAAGATTTCAACATATGAATTCTGAAGGGCAAAATTAAGCTACAATAATGTACTACAGTGTAATCTCCTCAAAAGACAGGATGCACAGGTTGGTCCTGTTTTAGTATTCTCACTGTGCCTAACAGAGTATCCAGAATGCAAGAGAGATTCCCTACAAATAACTTGAGGGATGTGAGGGATACATAACTGAAGGATCTTCCCAGATAGTAGCATACATCCAATCCAATGGTCAGTACCAAGAAAAGCGTAGCCCTCTTTCCCTGAAATAAGTTTGATCCTGCCACCGTCTCCATACAGTTCACTACCAAACAGCTATGAAGTGGCACTCAGGGACTAGCAGAAAAACTAAATTTCTTAAGGACACACATCCAAAGCCACTGGCAATGCCCTTCTCCCTCCCAATCTATTCCAATACTCCCAGACTGCTGGCTTAGCACATACGGCAGAAGTCAGCTGTGAAGTCAAAAGGAAAACCCAGGAAAGAGGGCAGTAGACATCTTTCCAGATGGAAAGAGGATCTAGGGAGGGAGGAGAGGCCAAGGACAAAGCAAAAGCACTACGAGGTGGTCTGTATATACACCAACTGGCCATGGTGAATGTACTCATTATATAATGAACCAGTACGAGTATGAGAACAAAGAAGGAAAGGAGAGAAGAAGGAAGGGACAGAGGGAGACAAAGAGAGAGATGGGCAGAGAAATCAGTACTGCTTTGCCTACAGAACAAGGCATTAGAACTTAGGAGAAATTGTAAAACAGACACATTTCTTTCCTACCTGAAAGGAAATTTCCCCCTCATCCTTCTGTGTGATTTGGGGTACAACTGTGAGACAGATTGTGTCAACTTGAGTAAGAAGCACCCAGCTGATAGGATCAGCACAGTTCTGGGTTTGGCCGAAGGGGCTTCCGGAAGGCAGAAGACTCGCCCTGCGTGTGAGTGACACCAACGAATAGGAGGGTGGCCTGGATGGCGTAAAAGGGAATCGAAGGAGGAGGCAGATTCTGTTTCTTTGGAGGCACTCCAGTCTCTGTCTTCACCTTGCACAGAGTCTGCTAGCTTCCTGCGCCAACTCTTCAGCCTTGCACTGCAGATCCTTTGGCCTCTGACACAGACTTGGACTTGGACGTGGAGCTCCAGGCCTGCAACCCTTGACGGGATCCTTGGACGAGCATGCACACACACAGACAGCCGTTTTGCACTCTTGCACACCTGAGTGGGCAGCCAGTGTAAGCCTGCCTGGAAAATCCTAATGTGTTTCTATATCTTGCACTAGATCTGCTGCTCTAGTGAGTACCGACTGAAATGGCCTGCGTTCTTCACTAGGCATATGACCTAATCAGTTGGCCTCTCTCTCCTAGGAGTTTGAATCCTGAATGAAGTGACATGAAGACAAAAAATAACTGCGAATCCATCAAGACAGGGCCATGAAAGCTTCCTAGTGCACACATCCCAGAAGGCTTCTGGCCTTCCCAAGGCTTGATCACTTCTTGCTGTTTAAGACCTACCTGGTGCCGTCCAAAAAAAGTCTTTCCCTTAAACCAGAACATGTTTCCTCTGTAGCTCTCTATGAATCGTCACACGTACACTGACTCCTGCACGTAGGCTGCAGAAGTGGCAGTAAGGATCCCCCACCCGCCCCAAGAAGTCAACCCACAATCCTTGCTATGCCACTGCAAAGCAATGCCCCGCTGTGCTTTGGGTTCTTGTCTGCATGCCTCCCCTGGCTAAATCCTTGGGAAAGTTGGTAGAAAAAGTCAAAATACTGGAGTGCACAGCCACTGGTAAGATCCTAGGAATGCTTTCGCTTCAGCCAAAGTGGGCTATGCGAATGCAAAGAAAATTCTGCCCCACTTAGATCAGCCTTTTCCCCTGGTGGAACTTCAAGATAACAGAGGGTCAGACAATCATGTAGAACTGTGAGATCTGAATTTTTGGCTCTGAATCAGTGATAATGCTTGAAAACTCAGGAAGAAAGGAAGGAAACATAGTACAAGATAAGGACCGAAAGAATTGGGGGAAGCCTGATCCCCCACGTACCTCCTAATACATGCCCCCCTCCCCAGAAAGAGCTAAGCACTGAGATGAAGCCAGAGGATGAGGAACAAGCCAGCTCTGCCCTCAGTCCAGAGGCAAAAGAACAAGCAGTGGACTTAGGGCTGGAGGACAACCAGGCAGCAAACTCAGAAAGAAACTCTCAGGCTAAGCCCCAGAGCCCAGACCCAACCAACAGACTAGAAGGCACACATACCCAGTGTGTCCAAAAAATTTTGGTTAATTTTTTTTTAATTTAGTATAGTAAAATTCATTATAGCATCATTGATCTCCCTCACTTTGAACACACTTGTCACATCCTTGTCAATTTCTGAGGCAGTTCTGGAAGGCCTCTTTCATGAGTGTTTTTACTTGTGTTATCACAGGTGCCTCCATGTTTTGGCCTTAGGGAACAGCTTTACGGTGCAGATCCAGTGGACAAGGTGAATGGGGACATAGCATGATGTTTTTTCAAGTCTGGCTTTCCCTGGGATGGCAGCGGCAGCAGCACACACTGTATTTTGGTCACACCTCATAAAGACACTCGTGAAAAAGGATTTCCAGAAGTTCTTCCAAAAGTGGCAGGAGGGATGGGATAAGTGTGTTTGAACAAAGGGACGGAATCTGTAGGGGATTCATGGAAATGTGTCTTATTCTGCAATAAATTTTTAAATTTAAATACATACTATATTTTTCTGATTAGCCCTTTTAGACCAGGTATCCTAACCCACAGCACCAACAGAATTTGGGATTCTGAAATATGACCCTATTAGAAAAATCCTACCCAGGGTGCAAATATGTCCATTAACTCATGGGGTAACACAGAGCAGGTTTAATAGCCGGGAGATGCATGAGCCTGTTAACTACACCCCACGTCTCTGATATTGAAGCTAAAAAGCTAATCATACACCATAATAGCTAAATACAACGACCTCGGCAATAGTCAAGGCTATTAGCAACTTGAATCTAGAGTAAGGTGAAACAACAACCTTATTCAGAGACACCAGAACTGAAGAAAGATTTATATGCATTCAACAGGAAAAGAAATGGAAAAAGATTAACTCTGGGAAACAAATGCATTAGAAATAAATGTTGGAAGATACTATATTCCTGGAGTTGTATTTTAAAAAATAGCTTTGATTTAAAAAGAGTCTAAATCAAATATTACTACTTATCTGAAACCACCTACACCCTGGCAGTTTACACACCATGCTATCTGAAGAGCTGGACAATCCAACTGCGCCATTTTTAAGGGCACGGCGGTTCCTGCCTGTACAATAATCCCAATAATCCCAGCACTCTGGGAGGCTGAGGCAGGAAGATCTCAAGTTCAACTCCCACCTGGACAACTTAGTGAGGTCCTTTCTTAAAAAATAAATAAATAAAAAGGATTGGGGGTGCAGCTCAGGGTGAAGACCCTGGGTTCAACCCCCAGTACTGAAGGGGAGGCGCTGCTAGAGAGGAGCCCCCAGGCTGCTTGCTGCCTCTGCTACCGATGAGAGCAGCTGCTGCGCAGGAGGGCTCTGGCGGTACCCCTCCTGAGGCTGCACCGGCACAGGCATCCTTTGCTTTGCTCCTTCTCCCCTTCATCCCCCTCCCTGCTGGAATGAGATTCAAGCCAAGGCCTTCATGTGAAGCTACACCCATCTTTTTTCTTTTTTTTTTTTTTTTTTTAAGAGATGACCTGGTTAAGTTGCTCAGGTGGGAGCTGGGGAGATAGCTCAGTAGAATAAGCACTTGCCTGGCAAGCACAGGGTCCTGTGTTCAATCCCCAGTACCAAAAAAAAAAAAAGAATTCTTCATGTGGGACTTGAACTTATGATCCTCCTGCCTCAGCCCCATGTGCCACCATGCCTGGCTTAAGGCATCCTTTCCTTACACCTTCTGTGGAACTCTGTCTCCCACACACAATACAATCACACTGCAATTCCATTAAGTGTCCCAGAAGCCCATGAACACAGGGGAAAGCTCCTAACTCCACAGAGGTGCCTGGACAGTGTCGCCCACCAGCTAAGAAGATGTCATCCCCAGACCTGCTGCCTGCTCCCACCATCTCATTTCCTGCCTGGAGAAAAGAGCAAATGAGACAAATGAGAAAGAGTATTTGTGTTTTGGATCCAAGGGGAAAAAATAGGGTGGGTGGGGTTGTGGCCAGGCCAGGGTGGGCCTGGGATGATTCCGCTGAGGAGGTTGTAACTCTGATGAATGCCAGGCGCATCCGGTTTATTAAAACAGTGCTGGGGACAGAGAGGCTGGCACATTCTCATATCCATGAGAAGCCCTGGAGGTTTGAACAACAGTTGGCATCCAGTTGCTGTGACTGAGGGCAGGCAAGGACAGATGTCACTTCAAGAGGAGTTGTTTCTAGCATTCCATAAAGAGCCCTTTAAAACTCACTTGGTCACCATTTTAAATACCAACTCTGTGTACAATTAAAATTTTTGCTGCAGAGGCCCATGAACGAGTTACTAGGGCCTACGGGGGGCTCGCCAAATGCTCTTGCTCGTACAATGCACACGGTGCAGCGAGCTGCTCTGCAGCAAGTCAGACACCAAACATCTGACTTTGGGCATCTATACGCTCTTTAGACAACCTTGTTCCCCAGTCACTCTGTTTCTTCTTTGTTCCTTTAATAGGTGTTTTCCTTCTGCTATCATTTTCTATGTTCTTAACTGGCATATTAGGTAACATGACACACTGATAGATTAAAAGCACATGGAAACACATGACAGTACTAATGTCCTTTAGATAAGGCAGAGGAAAGCATCACACACACACATACACAGGACCAACTTACCAAATGCCTTCTTAGGTTCTACTAACTTCAAGGTAAAGAGTTCCCCTTTCTTTAATTCCTTTAACTTCTTAGCAACTTCATAGTGACGACGTCCAACTATATTTTCTCCATTTATGGATTCAATATGATCTCCCACACAGACTGTCTTAACTGAGTCAATAATGCTACCACTTTTAATTCTCTGAAAGAAAGGGAAAAAAATGACAATACAAAAACAGAGCTGTGTAATAGTACCTTTCAGGTTCTCGAGCTATTATACGCAACATAACAACGTGTTGACATTGCACTGTAATATTAGGTTAAAGCAGGGCATAGTGCTTGTAATTCCAGCTACTCAGGAGGCTGAGGCATGAGGATCAGAATTTCAAAGGCATACTGGGCAATTTGACAAGGCTCTCTCTCCAAATATAAAAAGGACCATGCTGCAGTTCAGGGCTGGAGTCCTTGCCCAATATGTACAATGCTCTGGATTCAATCTCAGTACAATAATAAATAATAATGCCAGAGACCAAGGAAGAAAGAACAGTCATCCTCCTTATCATTCAGAACTGCCTGGGAAGCTTCTCCTGACCTCCCCAACTCACATCCCCAAGTCTGGGTAAGATGCCACTCTCACCCTGTACAGCACTTTTTCCTGTGTTGTACTCACCTCCTGTTACACACGTAATCCTGCCGACTTCTACAAGGTCCCACTGATCAGGAAGACTGAAGCATGGGAAGATGAGTGATTTCCCAGATTCAACGCCCCACAGTGCAAGCTTCACTTACCACCTCCACTCCATCAGTAAACTGCAATATCCTTGGGACAGTGCTATCAGCAACTGGCCCACTGCGTGTCCTGTGCCTACACAGCATCCCTCATCAGTGCTCACCAGAGCCGTCCAGTGTGAGGCCCACTAAGCAGAGAGGCATCCATGCATCTATGCTAGAGATTTATCTATAGAGTACATTTTTCAAACCTCAGTTACTTACACTCAAAGAATGGTATGATTCTGTTTTCCTTAGTGCTAGAAGATTAAACCCAGAGCCTTGCCCACACTAGGCAAAAGCTCTAGCAATGACCAGCATCCCCAGCCTGCCTTTTTTATTTTGAAGCAAGATCTCACTAAGTCGTCCAGGCTGGCCTTGAAGTTACTACAGCTTTCTCTTCAGTCTCCCCACGATGGTATGATCCTAGGTTAAAAAGTCTGATACTGAATAGCAGTAATATTTTGGGACTCAGTAAGGGTGATTTTATAGGAGCGTGTTTTATAATATATTTGGTACCAGGAATCAAACTCATGACCTCACACATGCTCGACAGGCACTGTGCCACTGAGCTGTATCTCTGGCCTCACAATACATTTTAGATAAGGAGAACACAGGACCCACGGAGAACCTGAAGCTTGTCTGCCTTAAGTCTTAGTTCTCTGCAATGCATCTGCTGTGCTGAGCCTCAAATGAGATCTAAAATCTCTAAGATGAAAGGGCTTTAGGGACAGGAGCCCCAAGGGTAACAGCGGTGCAAGTGCACAAGTTCTTCCACAGTGACCAGGAAGGGAAATGGAGGCCAGGGGCCTCAGGAGGAGGAGCCCTCTGTGGGGTTGACAGAACAGACCCCTTAGAGCCCACCGCCTCTGCACTCTGAGTGTGCATACACCATCCCTGGCGCAGGTCAGCAGGGTACCAGGCAATACTGCATCCCTGAGTTGAGAGAAACTGAACTCCTTACCACAGAGTGAATGTCATAAATGGTGACCTGCAACACTGGGCATTTTTAAGTTTTAAATTTTTAAAATATATGCTTGCTTGCTTGCTTGCTTGCTTTCAGTGCTAGAGGTCAAACCCAAGGCCTCATGCATGCCAGGCAAGCACTCTACCACCAAGCTACATCCCTGGTCCTAAATTCTATTCTTATATACCAAGATTCAAAATAGAGGTCTATCCCCAGTTTTAAAGAACATTTTCCAGGTGTAGTGGTCCACACTTGTAACCCCAGCACTTAGGAGGTTGAGGGAAGAAGACTGCCACAGGCTCAAGGCCAGCCTGGAATAGCAAGGATAGCAAAAACAAGGACCAACCTGATAGCTGATAGCTCAGTGGACCAAAGCGCTTGCTTAGGCAGAGTGCAGTGGCCAGGGATCCCTGGCCTGCTTTGTGTCGCCCTGCCCCCAAGCCCGTTGAGATGGCGACTGAGACTGGGTATGGTGGCAAGCGCCTATAATCCCTGCGCTTGGGAGGCTGAAAACAAGAAGATCACTACGGGTCCGATCTATGTAGTGAGACCCTGTAGACCCTGTAGACCCCATCCTAAATATAGAAAGAAAAAAAAAATAGCAAAAAGAGGAAAAAAATTGTTTTGGTATGTTGTCATAGCAACAATTAACATGCTATATGAAAATAATACCAATTTAAATAGCTCATTAATATTGTAAATAGTTAACTATGAAGCAAAGAAACCAGGAGCTCCGTAATCTGACTGGCATTGTTTCATTAAAAATCCATATTAGCCTCACAGAGCTAACTGAAACAATGGTAACCACAACATAGCGCTCAACACAACTACAGTTTCTACATGACCACATTAAAATAAACAAGACCTTAAAAGATTGAGGTCTTACAAAAAAAAAAACTATTAAATGTTATATAACTGTGCTTAAGCTGTTAAAAAATTTGAAGGTCTATATTTAACTGATGTTCGTACATTTTTGTGCTAATTTATCTCCTGCCACATCTTGAAACTATTTTCCCTTTGCTCAAATATACAAATCCCAGTGTCTGACCACGTGTTCCTTTTAGTTTTTAAAATTTAGCACTGTAATTTTATTTAAAATATTAAAAGCCACATATGACTCTTTGCCAGTGAATAGAATGTCAGAATAACGGCAGTCTTGTCCAGGGCACGCATGCGAGTGGCTGGAAACGACAACAGCAGAGTAGCCTGAACATAGAAGGAAGAATCAGTACCCAGATGGAGGAGGAAGGCTCAGTACCTGGATGAAGAAGGAAGGCTCAGTACCCGGATGGAGGAGGAAGGCTCAGTACCCGGATGGAGGAGGAAGGTTCAGTACCCGGATGGAGGAGGAAGGCTCAGTACACGGATGGAAGAGGAAGGCTCAGTACCCGGATGGAGAAGGACGGTAGAGCAACAGGCGAGAGTTCAGGCAGCTGGGCAGGAGCTGAAGCAAGTGCAGATATCAGAGGCTACGGAGAAGATCTGAGATGTGTGGAAAGAAAAACCAGCATGAGAAACTTGGAGAAGGGCAGCAGAAGATGGACCAGCTGAAGAAGCCAAGTTACAGACGCTAATTATTTGCACTGCCAAAGGCTTGATATTCTTCTAAATTCAATGGAGGTGAATTTCTGAAATCTAATACACACTGACCATCACGCAGTGGCTGGACATCAATCCCTGGAGGTGGTAACAGTGCTACTCAGGCCCAGGGAACCAAGAGGGGGAAACAGAGAAGCACCAACGTGAGGCTTGCATTTTCTCAGTTGCTGGTACTGTTCTCTGTCACACCTGGGCTTTGAAGGCCAGTGCTACAAAAACAAAGACGCGAGTATTTTCTGGAAAGCAGGATTTACGCTGTCAAACACAGGCCTCCCAACCGTAGCACCTTCCACCTTGTTCACCCAGTACGAAGAACTTGCCTTTCTCCTCCTCGCAGGCATCTGCAACTGACTCTACAGGGCGGTGTGCCACCCACCCTAACTCTTCAGCAGCAGAGTCAAGGTCTTGTTTGTTTTGTTTTAGGATTTGTTTATCTTTGAGAGAGTCTTTACTTTGCCATTTACCCATGATGTAGCCCAAACTAGCTTCCTACTCACAGTGATCCTCCCGCCTCCCTCCGCCTCCCAACTACTGGGATTATAGGCCTAAATCACTATGCAGGCAAAGGTTGTTGGAGCCATATGGCCTGCCCAAGTTCAGCAATTTTGACATCTACACAGCTGAACCCTCAGTGCTGGTCTCAAACAACACTGTCATTATAAAGTAACATTATTACAACTTCAAGGAGCTTCCTCAGGTGGTCCTCACAATGAGACAAAAGAATTATGTACTGTTCCCATTTAATGGATCAGAAAACTAAGGTACAAAGATCATACAGTTTAGACCTGGAATGATAGCTCAACAGACTAAGCGCCTGCTCAGACAAGCACATGGACTGGGGTTCGATATCCGGCACCATATGTCATGCTGGCCCCGCCTCCAGGCACACTGAGCCAGCAGCTGAGACCCGGCATGGTGGCACACACACCTATAATCTCAGCGCTGGGGAGGCTGAAAATAGGATTACTAAAGGTCTGAGCTGAGTAGTGAGACCCTGTACCAAATACATTTAAAAAATAAATAAATAATTCAGTTTGGCCAAGATAGCACAGCTGATCAACAAACAGAACTGGGTCTCAAACAGTGGTCATATAATTTTAAATTTTAGAAATTAAGAGTAATATCTGTCAGTAAACAGCACTCTGGGAGGCTGAGGCAGGAGGGTCATTAACTATGAACCCAGCATGCACAACTTAAACTTTGTCTCAAAATTTTAAAAAATTTAAAAGGCATGGGGATGGAGCTCAGTGTAAAGGCCATGGGCTAAATCCCTGGTACCGCAAAAAGAGAGAGAGAGAGAGAGAGAGAGAGAGAGAGAGAGAGAGAGAGAGAGAGAGAGAGAGATCAGATTCTCTGGTCCCAAGTGCACTTCTGCATTATAAGTGCCCGAAATGATCAGCCACCTTTGAAATCTGAAATTTCCTTTTTTATAGTACTGAAGACTGAACCCAGGACCTTTGAGCTAAGCTACATCCCCAATCTTTATTTTCTAATGGCCAGTTTGATCAGGCTAGATATCTACTTGTGATCCTTCCTGTCTCAGTCTACTAGAGTGCTGGCATGACAAGCATGCACCACCATGCCCAGCTGAACTTGGAAAAACTTTTTGGTTTGGTTTGATTTTTTGAGACAGGGCTTCGCAATGGAGTCAAGGTGGGCCTTGAATTCACTGTGTAGCCCAGGCTGGCCTCAGCGTCACAGTGATCCTCCTGTCTCAGCTCCCAGGTGCTAGAATTATAAGTGTGCACCATTATGCCCGGCTTTGAAATTTCTCTTTTTGACAACTTCCACCTTCCCATTTTGCATTTCTGTACTTTTATTGAAACTGTTCTTTGACACCATGGCCTTTAGATCCAACATATTACCTG